CTATACATATATATATATATTAAATAGAAATTAAGCTGTATTATGTAAAGTAAATTTAATACTTAATCAATGAAAAGCTAATAGTTTGTTAAAATAATAAAAATCAATTAAATTTTATACATGTTTATTTTAGGCTTTGTTGTTGTTGTTAATTTTAGGCAATTAATTTTTAGAAAGGTCGCATCAAGACAACAAGGTAATCGTCATCAAGATGAGTACTCCTATTTTTAAATTATAATTTCATTTTGATATCTCTTTTAAATCAGTTTTATGAGTTGTTATTTATGTTGAGTGATACGATTGATTTTTTTTTCTATTTTTAAATTTTCTCAATCATTTCAATGCGAATGCTTGTAATCTTATATTATAAAATATTTAATGCATTATAGCATTATATGTTGAGTGATGTGATATTATGAATGATATGATTTGCATAAATTGATTGTATATGCATGACTTACTATGATGAAGTCATCCTTTGATGTTAATAGTGGGGGAACACTTAAGTGCCCGTGCACATATATAGAAAATGATATTGATATTGATGTGTCTTAATTGAAACAACCTTTAGACATTCTCATGTACAGTTGTACAAATATAGAATGATATTACTATGTTATTAATATAGTACGATTCATTGAATAACCTATTAAATATTTATATTGATTTTTTAAAAGCTTAACTAGCATGTGTATTGTTTTTTTTTTCATTGTATTGTTATAGTTTTGAAGTACGAGTATTCTCTGGCTTGTTTAGCTCATTATTATTTTAAACTAATTTTTCATGCTAACTATGTGATTAAAATGTGAGTTATATAAGAGAAAACGTGTATAAAGAGATGTGGACAACTAGTAACAAGGTAAATTTAAGTATACTACTTTAATTTAATTTGATTAGTAGCTCTTTCGTCTGTTAAATTATAGATGAATATAGAAAATTTATTTTTCACTGTCTGACTGTCATTTTTTGCCTTGATTAATTTCAAGCCTCAAGTCTGATTGTGACACGTTACCCTTGACAAACGACTGCAGAGGATTGATGAAATTTTTTTCTTTATGCTCTAACAATAGATTTTGCTTGAACATTTTTAGGTTTTATAATTTGAAAGCTTAATTTTATGAATAAATCCCCTTTTCTTATGATATGTGATAAATATGCCCATGATCAGGGATTGATATTTTTGAACTTTGTCAATTCTATTCTGCTTACAAAGAATCAAGTTCATAAGTTATATCAAGAAAATTTAGTCAAATATCCTTTTCTGTGTTTTTTATTTTTTCCCCGGTCATTTTGTTTATTACAAACATGTGCTGTTTATGCTTGTTACTTTTATTGCATCAACCAACTTTTTAGCTTTCTCACTCAAGGCTCCAACGTTTTGAGTAGCAAATGAAGGCTTAGTTTTAAGCTTTAGTTAAGTTCTATCACTTTCATCACAATTTATTTAAGTTGTGGCATGCCATGTGAAAGTGTCTTAACCAATACCTTCATATTTCTAACCACAATTGGGTTAATTTGTGATGCATTACTTTTGACATCCCAACTTTTTCCTACTTTCTTGTTTAACACGAAAAATCAGTAAATCAAATCATAGTTACATTTCGAGTGCTGGCATAGATGTAACCCGTGGCTGTCAATTTAGCATCAATAATACACTTTTTCTCACGTGCTTGATGTCAGAAATAGCAGTTTTGAAGCATTAAATCTCCATTTGGAAATACAATTGCTAATGTTAGTTAGGTTCTTTGGTAATTAAGCTTGATGATTGACAATAATTTGCTTAAGCGCATGCTGTAGAGTATTTTGAGCATTCATTGCGCCATCTTTTTGGGTTTGTAGCTTGGTGCTATGTTTTGGGTTGCACTTATGAACTGTCTTTTTTCATACAGCGCTGGCTTAGGCGTTGTTAATGCTGCAAGAAAAACAATGGCAAAAATGTTGGGCGACAACGAATCTGCCTTTGAAAGTGCTGGTAGACAGTTTTGGGTTGTTGATGCTGAGGTTAGTTAAGTATGCGGCACATCGTTCCTTCATTATTTGTTTAGCTGAATGTATTCCTCTTGAATACTAAGAAGCTGTTAGGAATCATTTTTGGATTTTGTTTGTTATTTTTTATTTTGTTTTATTTATGTTTTAATTTGAAATAAAACATATTTGATATGCCATGTTTATCTGTTTTTTAAAATATTCAAAACTTCTAAAATTTATTTTGAGTATTTTTGAAAATAAGTTATTTTATTTAAAAAAATGAAAAAATAAAAAAATAAAAACATGTTAAAAATATATCAAACAAATATGTTTTAAAAAAAAAGGAAAGTGATTCCAAATAGTCCCTAAACTTGCCCCTCTCTGGAGACATTTTTGTTAATGGAAGGCTGAACGTATTATATGAGGTACTCTATACATGAGGCACTTGTCAATGCAGGTTCTAGTATAAATTTGATATTTGCAGCATTATGTGGTATGCTTAAGATTTTGTTTCAGTGATTAGAAACTCATGTTTTTAGGTGACAGTGGAGTTAATCAAATCATTTTTTTCTAGGTCCACCTCAAGGCTGAATGATACCGGGGGTAACCCAAATCACAAATAAAAACGGAATATTATTGCTGAAATTGAATCAGTTACAACGACGACTCACAACAACTCACTGTAGAAAACGAGAAAAAGGCACAACAAAGCCCCAGTCTTGCAATGGCGAGGAGGGAAGGCAGCGGCTGCCATGTGTGGAAGGATGGGAATGTGCTGCTCAGTTTTGGGAGGATGGAAAGGGGGCTGCAGGATTTGGACAGCTGTAGATTTGGAGGATGGCTGCAGGTTTTGGAAGGGTAGCTGGAAGTTTGGGAGGCTGGGAAAAGGGGGTTGCAAGATTAGGATAGCTGTAGGTTTGGAGGATGGCTGCAGTTTTGGAGTTGTGTGGCTGGAAGCAACGGGCGGGGAAAGCAACCCGCTGCTTTCCAGCTGGTGGGGGCAGATGGCCATGCGGTACAGTGGGAAGGGGCAAGGGTGACTAGGTGATGCGGTTGGTCTGACGGGAATCAACAATGAGTTGAAGGGATGGCAGGAGGGGTGAGATCCCGGGAGAGCGGATGACATACGGCAGACGGTAATATAGGAATAAGAAATATACAATCACCCCCTCGGGACAAGTTACAGCCGAAGCATCTTCTCGCTGTCGGAAATACCTCTCGGAGGAGAAGAGGGGATGCGGGCGACTGTCCAAACAGAACCTAAAGTAAACTCACAATAATCTAACTTGAATTCAACAAACACACCTATTTATAATATACATATAGGCGGAAAAACAGAAAACAAGGGGGAGGGGTGAATTTCCCACCCAATGAAAAAAGGGAAGAGATTGGTTCAACCCCTATCCTTTGTTGAACTGGGTTGAACCGATTCAGCTCCCTGTCCCCCACATCAATATCCTGGGATCGGGGAAGCTTCTACCTCATTCGTCAAAGCTTCTGACGTTTCATGGCATTACGTCCAGTGCCCTGGTAGGTTGATCATGTCGGTGTTGTCATTTGATCCCAACTGTTTATATGCAACAATTATAACAATGTCTCTGATTATATTGTCTCTGATTATATTTTCTCTTATATTTCCTTACTTTGCAACAGAGTCAAAACTTGATCCTGAAGAAAATAAGAATTTAACTTTTCAATTTATATATATATGTATTGGGATACTACGCAAATATACGTATCGTTATAGTGTAATATATGACTTTTTTATTAATACCTGAATATCAAAGCCACAGATTGATGCTATATAAGATCTATTGATGATTAATTGTATGTCATAATAGAAATAATTCTTATTCATGTCAACCAACTTGCTCTTAGAGGTTGACTATCTTGATTGGCCTTCAATAAGCAATCTCTTAACAGTAACAATTTAAAAATATAACTTGAGTTTATTAAAAAGAAAAACACTGAATTTGAAAATATCTTTCAAATATCTTTCTCCTTATTTCCTTATTATGAATCAGTAATAAACATAGGAATTCTGTTGTGGAAGTATGCAAATTGTGTTGTGTCAAATATAAGCAATTATAGTATTTACCCTTACCAGAGATGTTATAAAGAACATTGACTAATTTAAAGTTTGAATAGTTCTGAAGATCGGCTAGGCAAGGAAGACATTAGCTCTCACTCTAGAGTTCCCTCGATTCCTTCCACCTAGGGGTTAACATCTCGTATAAGAACCTAAAACAATAAACCAAGTTTGGGGCTTTAACCTGTCATTTTAAAGTCCTCTGACTCTGCTAGAGGTTAAGAGCAACATGTGAAACTTCAAGTTGAGTAGAGAAAAGTTTGGAATTTCTAGTGGTGAGGGTTCCATGTCTAGTTTTCTAGGAATAGTCAACAGGAAAAGTCCTATGGCTAGACCCTAGGCTACTAAAGAGGAAAAACTAAACCTCAACAGAAATTGAGGTCAACACATGGATTTAAATCATCACAACTTCTTCCAACAGTAAAAATCAATACTCTCCACAACATCCAAACTTTAATTACTTATCATTTTAAGAAGAAAGATAAAGAAAACTACTCAGAATCTATGGAGAAAACAAAACCACATTTTAATTTAAAAGTATAAATCATTGTCAAACCAATAAGAAGTCTTGATTAAAACCAAAAGTAGTTTAAAAACAAAAGATAAAAACTTATCTCAAATCCTCCATCAAATTCTTAAAGTTTTTTTGAATCTCTTCTCTTTTACAATACTATTAACTCTCAAAATAAAACTAAAAACAAAAAATGATAAAGTAAATTTTTTGTGCCTGAAATTCTCTCCCTTTTTAAACACTTTTCAGGACTTCAAGCACACTTCAAGAATTCTCAACTTCCTTCTTTTATAAATCTCCAACAGTTGCCTTGATAACTCTTCAAAATGTGTCCCAATTCGATGTATTCTCCAAATGATGCCTCCTTTCAGAAGTCTTTTAGTAATATTTTCGTTTCTAGTGGTCATAACCACCCTCTTTAGCCAATATGTGCCTCAAATACCTCTTCAAAATTTGGCCAAATGAAGAAAACCCCCAAATAACTGCCTCTGGCACTTAAGCGCGGGGCCTCTGGCGCTTAAGCGCGGCCTTCTCTATTTCACCGGCGCTTAGGCGTCACATCTGACGCTTAAGTGCCAAAACACTTTAGCATAATTTTCACGTTTTTGCTCCAAATTTGATTCTTTTTCACTTCTTTTAGCATTTTTTACATTTTTACTTATAACTGAAAGAAAAACACACAAATATCTTCCATTAAAGTGTAATATCTCAAAAATAGGTATAAAAAAT